AGCTAAAACCATGGATCCGGCCCTGTTGTAGAGGCCTAAGAACATATTTATTATCCAAATATGTAGTAGATAAACCATAATAAGTAGACAATAACTGTAAATATAAACATAATTATTTTAACTTATGCTTTTTAGATAACATAGAGATAAACTTTACTTTGTAATCTATAGCAGTTGAAGACATGGGCTAACCGGGCGGGGGGGGGGCAGTTTGTTGGGCAAACAGTCGGGCAATATTGGCTTATTATAAAAATAAATGGGACAAATTCTGTGAATTTTGTGGGAAATTCTGTCAATCTTGTAGGAAATATGCTATGTAATAGGAATTCCCCCCCCCCCGACAACAGTTTTGGAAAGTTTCTCTGAAAATTTTCTTTTGACAACTCGGACACAATCCAAAAAAATAGGGCAAATCTCTTTCCGCCCCATAATTTTTCAATTCCCGTACGCCCATGGTTGAAGAGCCACTCTGTGGATACACTGTTATTAAATCATTATATGGAATTCTTCAGGGGTAAAGTGTTTTGAGTTTGGAATTCTTCAGGGGTGAAGGGTTTTGAGTTTGGAATTCTTCAGGGGTAGAGTGTTTTGAGTTTGGAATTCTTTAGGGGTAAAGTGTTTTGAGTTTGGAATTCTTCAGGGGTAGGGTGTTTTGAGCTTGGAATTCTTCAGGGGTAGTGTGTTTTGAGCTTGAAATTCTTCAGGGGTAGGGTGTTTTGAGTTTGGAATTCTTCAGGGGTAAAGGATTTTGAGCTTGGAATTCTTCAGGGGTAAAGTGTTTTGAGTTTGGAATTCTTCAGGGGTAGGGTGTTTTGAGTTTGGAATTCTTCAGGGGTAGAGTGTTTTGAGCTTGGAATTCTTCAGGGGTAAAGGATTTTGAGCTTGGAATTCTTCAGGGGTAAAGTGTTTTGAGTTTGGAATTCTTCAGGGGTAGGGTGTTTTGAGTTTGGAATTCTTCAGGGGTAGAGTGTTTTGAGCTTGGAATTCTTCAGGGGTAAAGAGGTTTGAGATCGAAATTTTTCAGAGTTTGGAATTCTTCAGGGGTAGGGTGTTTTGAGTTTGGAATTCTTCAGGGGTAGGGTGTTTTGAGTTTGGAATTCTTCAGGGGTAAAGGATTTTGAGCTTGGAATTCTTCAGGGGTAAAGTGTTTTGAGTTTGGAATTCTTCAGGGGTAGGGTGTTTTGAGTTTGGAATTCTTCAGGGGTAGGGTGTTTTGAGTTTGGAATTCTTCAGGGGTAAAGGATTTTGAGTTTGGAATTCTTCAGGGGTAGGGTGTTTTGAGTTTGGAATTCTTCAGGGGTAGAGTGTTTTGAGTTTGGAATTCTTCAGGGGTAAAGGGTTTTGAGCTTGGAATTCTTCAGGGGTAGGGTGTTTTGAGTTTGGAATTCTTCAGGGGTAGAGTGTTTTGAGTTTGGAATTCTTTAGGGGTAAAGGATTTTTAGCTTGGAATTCTTCAGGGGTAAAGTGTTTTGAGTTTGGAATTCTTCAGGGGTAAAGGATTTTGAGCTTGGAATTCTTCAGGGGTAAAGAGGTTTGAGATCGAAATTTTTCAGAGTTTGGAATTCTTCAGGGGTAAAGTGTTTTGAGCTTGGAATTCGTCAGGGGTACAGTGTTTTGAGCTTGGAATTCTTCAGGGGTAGGGTGTTTTGAGTTTGGAATTCTTCAGGGGTAGAGTGTTTTGAGCTTGGAATTCTTCAGGGGTAAAGAGGTTTGAGATCGAAATTTTTCAGAGTTTGGAATTCTTCAGGGGTGAAGTGTTTTGAGTTTGGAATTCTTCAGGGGTAGAGTGTTTTGAGCTTGGAATTCTTCAGGGGTAAAGGATTTTGAGCTTGGAATTCTTCAGGGGTATAACTATGAAAAACATGTATCCTCGACAGGGGGGGTACGGATATTAAATGGAATAGCCCAATGCACACGCACATTTAAACTTTATAGTACTTTTATATAGGCATTGCATTTTGATATTTTTCTCTATATTTTCAGTATATATGAAACAAGAAACCGCGGTCATACTGTAATAAAAGCCGTAATATAAACAAAACATTTAATTCTCAAAATATTGTTTAAATTTTTCCAATTACACTCTAAATTTCTGTCAGAGTCTTTTTAACTTTGAAATTTGAATATGTCAAAAACGCTATCATATCATATGTCCTCCGCTCCTTCCGAATCCGTCCCTATTGTTGTTTGTAATTAATTTAAGTTTGATCACTGCTATATATAAACAATTCCTATTGTGTTTTAACAAGGTCAACCAAATAATTGATCAGTTTACACACCAAGAATGATGTATTTACTGCATATAATATGTGATGGATAGATTATAGGTAGGTAGGTAAGAGTGCATACAGTTAAATAATTAGCCATTTCTCATATTTCCTTTTATTTCCTGGTTAAGCAGGTGATTATAATTGTCATGGAAGGTATATGAAGGAGGTAGCTATGATTTTATCACATGGCTATGGGGGATAATTATGACCATTATTATGCTCACATGTAATTACTGTCTCATTTTTATCCTTTTTGTAGTGTAAACTTAAGTATAAAAATAAAGATTTATGAATATGTCAGACAAATTATATACAATGGGTGATTACTTGGTAAGTAATTTTGTATACCTTTGTAATTGTGGTCTGTGTAGATGGAGGCTATTTTGGCAATAGCCATGCACTTAGACATAGCATGACCAGTCCATATGTGGACTGCCTATGTCTATTAAACATGATTGAATACCCAAATTAGATTAAAGATTATGATATGTCCCAGGCATGGATCCAAAAATGACCATGTACTGAAGTTATATGGCATGAGCCATGTAAAATATGGTGGGAAACATACAATTGGGGCTGCATCCCACCATAATGCACTAGTCAATTGAAACCCCGACCCCCGGGATAGGGAGGGGAAATTAACATTTTGACAATGTTAAATTTTGGACATTTCCCTGCTACCGGGAGAATATTGACTGTTAAAATTACTGTCCCTATCGCCCCAGCACTAATTTGCAAATTTTCATGACTTGGGAAATTTTCATGACTTGGGAATTGTCCTGGCTAATAAATTGACTTGTTATTTACCCTGTACCCCGGGGGAAATGCTGCATTAAGACCGTGTTAATCCACAGCCATTCCCCCGTTAATTCCCCGCCCTGTCCCGGGGGTCGGGGGTTTCAATTGACTAGTGCATGCATAAACATTGCAAAGGTCCATTTTGTAAATTAATGGCACTATGTATTTAATCTTAATTTATAGGGCCTGTGAGTTCATATCTGGAATAAAATAGTGGCAAATCTACAGAAATATCACTGCTAAGGAGTGTCAAACAAATTCAGGAGGACTGAATTAACTGGATGTTCTCAGGATGAAAAAGAAATTGTTGACTTTAATTGAATAATCATTATCATTAATGTAAGGTTAAAAATATTGAACATTCAAAAGGATGCAGACAGAAAATTGAAAGTAGGGACTGAATTTCAGGTTAAGTGATCCAGGAATGGGGTTGGCGCCACCTCTGCAGGCTAAATCAATTGAGGGAGATCCCTTTATTTCAAGTTAAATGATTATTTGAATAAGATGCCATTCAGGCAATAATGGCCTGGTTAGGTCCATATTTTAATTCAAATTATTAAGTACTCGATTTATCCATCAACAAAACCCAACATTAAAATTTCCATCGAGTGAGATGCAACAAAACCATCTATAGTTTATTAATTATGTTAATCTAATCCATCAATTGGCAATGAGCCTACTTTAGTATTTTATATACTCTCTCTAATTTGCCCATTATATTTATAAACTGACAGTTAATACCATTACTCTTTCACATACTAATAAAATCATCTGGGCCCGGTTGTTCGAAGCCTGTGTAAGCCTTTGAACTACCGGCCCCAGATGATTTTATTAGTCTGTGAATGATTAATTATTAACTGTCAGTTTATAAATATAATGGGCAAATATATGATTATGTAAAAATTGCATGCATGGTTCATAAAATCTCTGTGATAGACTTGCTCCAACAGATTCAAATTCCATCCTGACAATACCTAAATAATAATTATAGAGCTTGCAGTGTTGCACTACCTTTTGCTAAAATACTGCCATTGTTTACCAGTATTTAATATGAACTCAAAAGTCAAAACACTTAACACTATGAAGTATTTAGATTTATAAATAGTACTTAGTATTTTATAAACCTTAATTGCATATAAAATAGTTTATAATTATCTTACCTTTGTACTTTTACTGTAATTATCTCTTTAGTTTGTATTTGTTCACTAATCTGTATTTTCTTATTTCAAAATAAACTGAATTTCATACCAAGAAGCGAACTTTGTCTGTTTGTGTGCTTATTTAAAGGCACAGTTCAGCCTTCTGAGTGATGGTTTTTATGGCGCATTACAAGACTTTTAATTGAAAAAACTAACTAGGAAAATCAATTAAGCATAATTCAAAATCAGTGAACTCAATGTTAAAAAACATTAGAAATGTTTAAAAATGTTAAAAACATTGAAATCACTGATCTTGAATTGTGCTTAATTGATTTTCCTAATTAGTTTTTTCAATTCGGTTGTAATGCGCCTTAAAAACCATCATTCAAAAGGCTGAACTGTGCCTTTAAATTTCTCTTTCCCCCCTGGAAAATGGCCACGAATAACAGCGTCGAAACCGATTGATATCAGGTTGTTTACGTATTGATAAAACAAGACTGTTCGCAGTTGTTGACAATATAAAACATCATTGATATCAGGTTGATCTCAGTTGTTCCAACAACGTTGTTCAGGCCTTGTTCGTTCATCAGGCGTCAACAACATTGTTCGAACAGGCGTGAACAATATTGTTGACAACATTGCTGCAAGTGGGCCGCACAATATTGCAGCATCCTGTTCAGAACCAAGTTGCAGCAACTTGTTGACAACTTGCAACAACATGATGATTTTTACGCGTGTAGGAGGTAAAGACAGGGTGTTAACTTAGGTGGAGTAACTTACCAGTGCATGAAAACTCGTGTAAGTAGAGTTTGCTCGGCTTTCTCTTGTATACCGAAAAATACTAATTTTCCGCTTCTAGAAACTTAAGCCTTTGTTTTTGTTTTAAGTCGAGGACACGGTATCATGAACATCTGCCGCGGCTAATACACACTTCCCGAATTTAACGAAACAATAAATAAGTTGTTTCCATGATCATGGCCATTCATTTCATTGCATTTTATTGCCAGGACTATTGTTGTAAATAAGTAGTCCACATAACCTTCACGTAAATTCTGGAAGTGTCTGTTGGACAACCACTCCCTGTGTGATCAACATTAAGCAATTATTGGATTCGGCTTTCGCATGATATCAAGAATTATTCAGACCGAGGTCAATGTTATCTGCCGAAGCGAAGCTGAGGCGGATAACATAGACCGAGGTCTGAATAATTCTTGATATCATGCGAAAGCCGAATCCAATAATTGTTTTATTATACATTTAAAGACATGAGAAACGTATAAAACGATTCCTGTTCATGAGGTAGGAAAAGTACAATTTGAATATCAAACACCTTGCACAAAGTCAAAGGTCAGCTAAATATTCTATTTCTACTTCTATTTACCCCTTTGTGGCTTTTTTCGTGCTTTCACTATCCTTATCTGCCAATAATTTGGAGAGTTCACTTTCATTCAGCGAAGCAAATCTGCTGTAGGCCATTGTTTGTTTGTTTTTTTCGCGCGCTTATAGGTTCAAGCTTTTGGCCGCGCAAGGGTTTGGGCACGAGAGAGTCCAATAATTTTTTTTTGGATGCAAGTTCGATCCAAAAAAACAATTATTGGACGCTGATGACGTCATCGGCGGAAAATACGTAATAAATGCCGAATACTGAAAATTAGCTGGTGCTTTCTGACCAATTAGAAACGAGAATACATATTAAATGTATAATAATAAATCATAGATACCTCGTTTAACTAAAATAAATAAGTAATGACATGCAGTATGTAGAGCAGGAGTGTTTTATCAGATATAAAAGACGAGAGCGCAACTCGACTGTTCTATATCTGATAAAGCACGGACTGTGAGTGTTTTAAATTACTTACAAAACTCATTAGTAATTCATGAAGAAAACACAAAGAAAAATCATAAGCGTGTCGTATGTGTATATGTGATACAGATTCATGTTGATTTACATAAACTTTAACTTTGATTTTCTCGGCTTAGGCAACGTTTATTTTTAAAATTACTTCGCCAATGAACTTATAAGATGAGTCGTTTTTAAGCCATTTACAACCTTTTCCTCGTGAGTTTTTTAAATATATTTGAAAAATACCGATGTTATAATTGCATGTATCGAATATGTTTTTAGATTCAAAGACCAAGAAACGAAAAGAAAAGTCGTTTATTCCAGACGATCCAGAGCCGTGGGTTATACGGGGAGGAATTTGTGGCGAAATGCAGGTAATGGCTCCCCATCTTGATTGCGAACAGTGTCAGTAGTGGATCCAGCAAGGTTTTTTATGGGGGGGGGGGTGCTGGGCGAGCAGCCAAGCACGCTGAACCCAGCACTGGCCAGCAGCGTACACCCCCGTGCTCCCCC